ATTTACCCCTATTAACATAAAATGACAATTTTGTCCAATGACGTCAATTTCAAGAGTGGGGTTTACTACGGCTCTTATAATTCGTAAAAAGAACCCAAAGTTAGGCATCATTTGATTTCTCAACAAACAAAAGATGTGACGGTCTATTTTAACCGTATTATTATATATCCATTAATCACTCAAACATTATTCATGTTTATTTTCCTTCTTCTTTTTTCCTCCATTGGAGCATCAAAATATGTATTACAAGAATAAAATTTGAGTTCTAGGAACCAAACAAGACCTAGGAGGCACACCACTCTCACCCTGTATTTTTCAAATTAGTTGGTTTATTAATAAAAAAAAATATATACATATACATATTTTATTTTATTTGGTGTGTTAGAACTAGATTTGGGACTCACCTAACTACGTTGGTGGTCATAAAGTGTTTTGGGTGTTGAGTTTTTTTTATAATTTCAGCTTCCATTTTGAGTGTTTTAGTGAAACTCTCTTTATTTTATTTGATATGTTAGAACTAGATTTGGGACTCGACCTAACTACGTTGGTGGTAATTATTATGTTTACTTCTTTCATGAAATTGGATAATTAAACTTAGTTGGGCCTAAATAATTAAAATAGACTAGACACAACATATCCTCTTTGGGCTCACACGTATGTCATGTTTTCTTTTTGGGTCATGCTAGGGAGACCAACTTTAGATACCAACTTATGTACCAACTCTCTAATAAAAGTAGAGCCCACCAATACAATGGGTCTCACGCTCTATTAGAGAGTTGGTACACAAGTTGGTATCTAAAGTTGGTTTCCCTAGCATTTTCCTTTCTTTTTAAAGCATTACAGTTGGGTAGAACCACTTACTTAAATTCCTATTGTTTCTAAGAGAGTTGGATAGTTGAACAAAATAACCCTATGTTTCTTAGGAAGCACGATATTATTACGTATTCAACTTATTAGGTCCGAATTGAGGTACGATAGCAGCCTCTTTTTTTCCTCGAACACATTGCATTGACCAATTAGCCAAACTCACGTTAGCACATATTGATGATTTTTATTTGTTCACTGCATCTGTGATGATTTTTAATAGTCTAAGTCAACGTTCTTCTAAATTTTTATTTTATACAAGTGGAAAGTTACCTACAATTTCATAGGCAATTTCAATAGCAGTTTCATACATCATAAAAGACAATCTTGCACTTGGACTCGGTAAAGAAAAGACTGCTCGCGGAAAAAATGGAAGACGACCGCGCGCCACCACCAGCAGCAGCCCCAGCCAAGGAGTCTTCCTCCTCAAGCGCATGCAAAGACGTTCCCAATCTCCTCTCCTCCTTCGTCGATACCTTCGTCGACTTTTCCGTCAGTGGCGGCCTCCTCCTCTTTCCTCAAAATGACCAAAACCCTCACCACCGCAACCCCGGCGACGATCCTCTTCCCTCGCCCCCACCGTTGCAGACCTATTATCCCCCGCAGGACCGCTTGATTGCCATAGGCGATCTCCACGGCGACTTGGAGAAGACCAAGGAATCGCTGAGACTCGCTAAATTGATCGACCCGGAGTCGGGTAAATGGGTCGGTGGGTCGTCCACCTTGGTCCAGATCGGCGACGTGTTTGACCGTGGCGGCGATGAGCTCAAAATCCTTTATTATCTTGAGAAATTGAGACGAGAAGCCGCGAGATGCGGCGGCACGGTGATTACAATGCACGGGAACCACGAGATCATGAACGTCGAAGGAGATTTCAGGTTTGCGACTCACAAGGGTTTGGATGAGTTTAGGGGTTGGGCCGATTGGTATTGCATTGGGAACCGAATGAAATCGCTTTGTAAAGGCTTGGAAGAGCCCAAAGATCCCTTTGATGGGGTCCCTCTACGGTTTAAGAATGTCAAGGAAGAGTTTGTAGATGGGTTTAGGGCTAGAATTGCTGCATTGAGGCCAAATGGTCCCATTTCGTCCCGGTTCTTGTCCAAGAACTTGACTGTATTGGTTGTTGGAGATTCGGTTTTCGTCCATGGCGGGCTTTCGGCCGCACACGTTTCTTATGGTCTGGAGAAGATCAATGCGGAGGTGAGGGATTGGGTTCATGGATTGAAGGAAAAATTTGCACCTGAGTATTGTCGTGGGAGTAATGCCGTGGTTTGGTTGAGGAATTTTTCGCATGAATTTGCGGAGAAGTGTGATTGTTCAGCTCTTGAACATGTTTTATCTACAATTCCTGGCGCTAAGAGGATGATTATGGGTCACACCATTCAACAGTTTGGGATTAATGGCGTTTGCGAAGAGAGAGCAATTCGGATTGATGTTGGTATGTCGAAGGGGTGTATTAATGGGTTGCCTGAAGTTCTGGAGATCAATGGGAATTCAGGTATGAGGATCTTGACCTCAAATCCATTGTACGAGAAGAAGAAGTATAGATCTTCTGTGGAAAGTGAGAGGAGGCCAGGGCCTGGATTTTTGCCTCAAGAACATGGACCAAAACAAGTGGAAGTGAAGGCTTAACTATTTGGGTATTTTATGCTAAACCTTACTAGTCTTACTTAAATGGAGCTCCTCCTGAATATATATGACTTTTTACTTTTTATTTTCTAAACTATTATTCAGCTGGTCGGAAGTGTAAATATTTAATCATCAATAGTTAGTCAAGCTGGAAATTGGATCAATACTAACATTTTGGAATTTTTTAATTTGTGTTTCTATAGCTGTTTTTGGTTTTCAACGTGAAACATTAGTGCTTTCACTAACATTGGAAAATGTTTTGTGCAAGCAGGGGATTTATGTATATAAGTTTTGTTTTGTCATGTTATACATGTTTCGACTGTTTATTAAACTCTTTAGTATGTTTCTACTTTTATTGATGCATTGTTGATCACTCATATCCTGAATCTAGTATATGTGCTGGACGGTAAGGCATTGTATCATTAGAAGTAGCTACCATAAGAATACTGATGGCTATTTATTTTGGATTAGAAATTGGTAATGACCAACTATCAAGAGTACTTCTCATTTATAAATAAAAAAAAAAGAACTATCAACGTAATGTTGTTTTGTTCCTGACAAGGAAGATTTTACTTGAATGCTCTTACACTTTTCAGTTGATTTTGTCCACAATTGTGTTCTGATCGTTCATGTTGGTAAAAGTGAGGGATGTTGTTTTGATCTGATGGCCACGAGTGGAATACACAATGACTTATGAGTGTGACACCAAGTAGGCATATATAAAGGTTTGGGCATCAAGAATTTGGAATCTTAAGAAAGACCCATAATTTTCTGCTTTGAAAGTGTTTTGCCATTACAATTGTAATGATATTTTTAGGTTTTTGGAAGTCTTTAGTAGTGGGGCATGATGTGGATCAATTGTTGGACAAGTAATATATTCTCTGGATTTTGCCCGATAGTTTGAAGGAATAACTTTGGTGGCACATGTATTAAAACTAATGGATCTAGACACAATTTTGTGTTTGATTTTAATTTTATAAGCAGTTTCCAGAGACATGGTCTTGAAATAGCAGGAATTTTTAGGAGTTTGCCTTATTGCAGCTTTTGCTTTTCTTGAACCAGAATCTGGAAATTGCAATGGAGAACATCATTTCTCTGCGATTCATTTTAAAAATGATCTCTATTGAAAGTTGGATTCAGAAGAACTGATTTCTGACAATGCAAGTATGGGGATTTGGGTTTCTATGCAGTTCTTCCAGCTATCAATATCACTCTTAGCCTCCTTTGTTTCGAAAACTGCCTCAAGTTCAAGCTCGCCGGCAAACTCCTGCTCTCCAGGTATTAGAAAATAAAAAGAAAAGAGTATAGAACTAATGAATGCCATAGTACATTGAGTTGGGTTTATACCAATTCATGCTATGCCCTTTTAAGTTAAAATTTGAACGCAAATAGTCCTCACTGCAGTCAAATACATTAATTCTTCCCTGCAGTCAAATCTCTGTTTCCTTCATTTTCCTGCAGTAGTACTTTTTATTTCAATGTGGGTGACTTTTAAATATTTTAATAATTCAAAGCTTTCAATATTGTTATTGACTTGTTTTGTTGCATAGTTTGGAATATCTTGAGATTAGGGTCCCCTGTAAGCACCAAATCTATAAAAGTATCCTATAGTTCAGCTACTTGAACTGCACAGATGCTAAAGTTGGAAGGCAAAATAGACTAACAACGAGATCTGAAATTAGAGCGAAGGGCGAATAAAGAGTGCCAACTAAGCAACATAACATCCGAAAGTAAATATTAATTTTTTCTTTCTTTTCAAAACGGATTTCCTGTCTGTCTATTGCATGGTACAATATAACTTAAATAACTGCTGTTCCATATCCTTAAGATTTATAAATTATTTGATAATTGTTATGGAGGGGTTATATAATTTGAGTTTTGGTATGATGGAGCTCGACATTGAGCTCAAGAATTCCTCCGATAGTTTTTGTAGCCTAACAAAGGTATGGTTGGAATTACAGTTCCTTTGGAAAAAGCCTACCTTTGATTTGGTTTAGTTATAAATTTACAATGCAATTTTTTTTTTTGAATAAATACACAACCACAGTTGAGGGAAGCAGTGCTACTTGGAGTTCAGTGTACAACTGAAGGAAATATGTGGATCAAATAGGAGCATTTTTATGAATTACTCAAATAGGTGGATCAATAGGAGAACATAATTTCTCACCTCAACATATTCTTTCTTTTGGCCTTCTCTGTTGGATCAATGTTGTCCATCCTAGAGGCTTTAGTTAGAAATGCTGGGAGAAGTTCAAATACATGATCGAAACTTCCTTGCAAATGGGTTGGAGGGGCTAAGTAAATCCTGTTGAGATCACTATCGGAACTTGCTTTTTTCTCTGTTATAGTTGAAATGCATTCTCTGCTTTTAATATCAGATTGTCAACTTTGTAGACTGTTTTGTTAGTAAAATTTGTCTTAAGTTGACTGAACCTTTACCATTTGTATTCGCGGCATGACTGTTACTAGATTCATACTCCAGTCATCTCCTTGTTCGACATGCATTTTGCTGACAGTCGTCTGCATGTCCATACATCCACTTGTCTCTTTTATTTTCCTTCTATATTGTAGGAACCATCGTAACCATTTCCCATTTTCCACTTTCTTTATCAGATGGCTGACAAGCATACTTGGTCAAACAAAGAAGAGAAAGCATTGTTGGCTGACATCGAGGAGTCGTTGCAAATGGCCAATGTGATGGAGTAGCTACTTTTAAGAATAAATGAATGCAGGAAGGTGTTGTAACTTGTTCATCTTCTTCAATTCCTCCCAAGGATATATGGTGACTCTTCGATTATGGACTTGCTTTATAAGATATATCCAAGTATTCACTACGTTCTAATCGTAGAAGTTAAACTGGACTTATTAGCACAGCTGTTAACCTGGATTTTTCTTGCCTTATCTCAAGTCCTGCAAGAGCTATCTCTATTAATGCATCTGGAAGGAAGATACAAATGGAAGTAATTGTTTTTGACTGTGTATGGTAATTGTTTTTATTCATTCATAACCGAGTAAATACACTTCGGGAAAGATTTTGGTGTTGGGAAGCTTTAGCATCCAACCTCTTTTTCCTCAATTTGTCTCCCAACTTTCTCACGCTAGGATATTATGGGGCCCAGTTGGATAGATATTGAAGAAATAATTCGATTTTAAAGTGTCACTAAATATGCTACTTCCCTAAAAGCATCACCAATTAAGATTTATTATGTAATCTTCTGCATCTAACTACACGTGTTTATAACAAGAGTGTGTGTAGTTATTACAAGAGTGTGTAACTCATTATTGATAAGTCGCAAATATGGTATGGCATTAATCATAGAAAAAGGGTATAATACTAATTAATAGAGGCACGTGTTATAATATAAGGAAACGAGTAATGGTAGTAACTTTTTTATTATTTTTATTTTTTATACCGAGTATATATGCTATGGACATCAGAATAAGTTATAAAATTTTGTTTGCATATTTAAGCATATTTTTTATTTCTTTTATTTCTTAAGAAAAAAAATCGTATTTCCAACAAGATACTAGCATGTCCCTGTCATATATCAACTAGGTGAATAAGTATTGGAAGAAAATCATCGTGGGAATGATTGATTCTGACTCTCAGTCCTTTCGGTTCATTCTTATTGTTCTGATTACAAGTTAGTAAACATGTCATTACTATCTAAAGGATCACTAAATATTATTCCCCCAACATGACATGACAAATTAAGCTTTGGATTTGTACCCAAATTCCAAAATGTGACTTCATAGTCAGGAGCATGTTCTTTGATACTCAGAAGTCTCAATTAGTCTTACTCAACATTAATGCCATTTGACAAACTTGAATAAGCAGGAAAGCAAAATGCTGGTAGAAGTTAGGGCAGTGGAAAGTCGGTGAATGAAAGTAAATACCATTTGAACTGCAAAGCCGGTGAGCATGTTGCCTCTTTGTACTAAGGTCCTTTTCAATCTTAATGAAGTTGACATCAATCCTTCAATTAATAATTAAGTGCAAGCACATGAGCCTCCTAAACAGTTCATCTAACTTGCTATAAAAAATAAGGTTGCTGGAACTGACAAAGAGCACCAAAGCCAGCTTAACCAACTTGTAAAAGTTCGATTTACTACTTTTATAACATTTTAGTGTTGCAGGGTTTTTCAATGCAGACCCATCTTGCTTTCCAAGGGGCCCTTCTGGGTCTCTGGTTGTGCTTGTTTGCTGTAAGCTTCTGCTACAGCAATGCAGAGACTATTGAGGAAGCTGGAGAACAAGCAAAAAAAATATGTAATACATTATTAGCATAAAAATATGTACCATAGAATTAATTTTGGCTATGTGATTGTCAATTTGATACCAAATATTGTAACATCCTACATCGACTAACGGAGAGGGGGTGATATGCCTTATATGTACATGCCCAGCTCCATTTTGCATGAGGCCTTTTGGGAGCTCACTGGCTTCGGAGTCATGGGAAATCCGAAGTTAAGCGAGTTTGGGCTAGAACAATCTCAGGATGAGTGACCCAATGGATAGTTGCTCGTGAATTCCCAGAAACAATATCGTGAGGGCAGGGGGCCCAAAGCGGACAATATTGTGCTACGGTGGAGCCAATCTAAGATGTGACAGAACGGTATCAGAGCCACTTTGACGTGTGGTGTGAGTATGCCAATGAGGACGTCAGGCCCCTAAGGGGGTGGATTGTAACATTCCACATCGACCAACGGAGAAGGGGTGATGTGCCTTATATGTACATGCCCAGCTCCATCTAGCACGAGGTATTTTGGGATCTCTCTGGCTTTGGAGTCATGGAAACTCCGAAGTTAAGCGAGTTTGGGCTAGAGCAATCTTAGGATTGGTGATCCACCAGGAAGTTGCTCGTGAGTTCCTAGAAACAAAACCGTGAGGACAGGAGGCCCAAAGCGGATAATATCGTGCGGCCGATCCAGGATATGACAATTCCTCACAATGCCACCTTCTTAAATTATTCTTTAACAATATTCGTCACTTGTCTATTATTCCTCAAACTGGAAACGACGTGGACTCCAATGACGCCAATCATCAACACTAGGCCATACGACGTGAAGGAGAAAAATTGGGTGATGATAAGAAGAATATGTTGAGAAATTGCCTCATTGCCGAAACAAGGCTAAATTACCAAAGCCTCTATCTAATCGTGCTTGAACATTGGCATTATCTTTGCGGTTGTTCGTCCAGGTAAAA